AGAGTAGACCTTTCCCCAAACTTGGTTAATACTATCATGGAAAAGTGTCCCCCCCAAAACTTATGTGTTGAGATTTGGTTGTGATGAGATTAATAGAGTGAAAACTTAACCCATTTATGGTGTTATAAATTGAGGCCTTTGGGAGGAAATTAGGACTAAGGTCATCAGAAACCTCCGGACAGTTTCAAGGGGAGGAAATGAGAGAGACACGTGGACACAGACACACCCACCGGCAAGAGAGCCTCGCCAGACGTGGTGCTAGATCTTGGACCTTGAAACCATGAGCTGAGTAAAATTCTGTTCTTTTTAAATAGTCCAGACTAGTGGATTTTTCTGTTATTCGCAAGAGAATGGACTAGACCAGCTAGCCAGCTGGAATATAGATACTGACTTGAATGTGGAGAACCTTTGATGAATATAAATACAAAAAGATGGAAAATTTTTAAAGTATAGATTGATGGTGGCATACATAAATTATTCATAAGTCAAACACATGTATGAGGTGTGAATACTCAAAACACGTTTAACCACTAGGACCACATGGTCAGGGGAGTTCAGAGTAACTGGTCTCCACGATGTGTTCCTTCTGGGGCGTCATGAGAGCCTGATGTAGAGGGTAGCCTGAGTATTTTGTCCAGGACCCCCAAGAGAGCCATTGCTCACACAGGTAGGAGGGAATGTAGCAGAAGACACAACTGCTGTCCACATTCGTGGGGCCAGGTGTGAATCCCAAACACTCAGGCAGTCCTGAAAATAATTAGACACGTAGATGCCAACTCCGAAAATGGGAAAGGGCCCTCCCCAATCAGAGGTAGCCAATGCTCACTTCAGCTAAACTCTCTGCACCTGCAGAATGCCCCCCACCACCACAACCTACGAGAGGGAGAGGGAGAGGGAATGCTGTTATGGGAGATGCCATCAGCTGTCAGTGGGCCTTAAGGAGAAGCTAGGGACCTAGAAGTTGCTGGTGGAGAGAGAGGTCCAAACGGTACATTTGGAGTTGGTGACCTAAGGTCCCACTGGGCCAACACTGCCTAGAGGCCACGTGTTCAGCCAAGTTCGCTGGGAGTGAGAGACTGCCCTGGGTGCTCTCTGGGGGCAGAGGTGGCCTGGGTCAAAGCCTGCTTCTTTTTGTATGGCTCTGGGGAGAATGCTGGCAGTCGCTATGTCCGAGGAAGGGGTGGAAGTCATGTCATACACTTTGGCTTTCCTCTCAAAGGCCTAAAAACTCTCAGAGGTGGTTCTGCCCTATCTGTGCAGTGAGTCTGGAGCATGATCTGGGGCTCGGAGTTCAAGTCCCACTCAGCCTCTTATAAGCTTTGTGAACTTTGGCAAGTCATGAACCTCTCTGAGCCCTGCCTTTCTCACCTCCCAAATGGACAGAACAATACCTTTCCTACTTTCTGGGAGTTGCCATTATGATAGCCCCACTCTAAGAACATGACTAGAAAAGGGACCCAAGAGCAACTAGAAAATTAAAACAGTATTTTAAAATTATCACTGATAATGGGGACCAGTGGGTGGCATGGTAGTTAAGGTACTGGACACTTGAGTCCCAAATCTGGTGGCTTGCTTTCTTACCCTTCTCTCTCTCTCTCTCTCTCTCTCTCTCTCTCTCTCTTTCTGTGTGTGTGTGTGTGTGTGTGTGTGTGTCTGGTCAAGTTCAAAATAAATTCATGAATAAATAAAATTAAATAAATAATTCTTTAAACAAACAAAAAAAATCACTGATACTAATTCCCTACCCAAGACCAGGTGGTGGCATGAAAATAATGCAACTGGACCCATATGGGAAGGTCTCCAGTTCAAGTACTGGAACCTCCCTGGACACAGCAGGTTGTGCACCCATGATCCAGGCCGGCTGAGACTCTGTTGGGGGTTCTCTCTCTCTCTCTGAAGAAATAAATAAATAAACTTTAAAAAATAATTCCCCGCAAAACTAGAGACAAGAACACGGGTCTGGGGCAGAGTTTCTTGCATTCCACGTGCACCCGCAGGCTGATGACACAACAAAGGCAGCAGACCTGACCTCTACTCAACCTACCGACTTCTCAGGGAGTCCTCCGGAGAGATGGCAGACCTCAGTGTGCCATGAGGGTCCTGACTGCGACCCGGATAGTGTGCAACAGCACAGAGATTTCTCCTGAGCGAGCTCCTGCCACTAGCCAAGCTTCCCGCCTGCTGCCTCATCAATCTATCATCCTCTTAGCAGTTGACACCTCTGGCAGCACCTCCCAGCAGCCTGGGCATTAGAATTGCAAGAAGCCAGGCTGCACTGGGGAATACAGATGGAGGAATCTCAGATTCAAATTTGTCTAAGTATTGTGAACAGCCAGACCTGGGCAAGGCATTTCCACTGCCCTTCTGCCAAAGAGGAGTGGCGGGGGGGTTTTGTTAGAAGTACAAATTGCTTCTTAATGCGGAGGATAAAGCTGGGCCCCTGAACCTTCTTAGAAATTCCTCCCGCTCCCAGGAAAGCCACTGCTGCATGTCAATTTTAATTTTTGAAATTTAAACCGAGGGCTTTGTGTCTAAGCTCCATCTCATCAGAAGAAGGGGAGGAATAAGTCAAAAAGGATTAGGAGCCCACTGGGGATTGCCGATCCATAGCAATTAGACTTCATTTGGGTCTCAGACATTTGGTTTTAATTCCATTTCTGGATGATACAATCAACAAGACAACAGAAATTGATACCTACGCAACTGTAGACAGGTCCGACTCTGCCTTCTCCAGTTTCTGGGCTCAGGAGGGCTCACCTGGGTTTGAGCTCCATAATCAGTGGAGATGGGATGAGAATTGGGTTCAGTTTGAGTCTGGAATTGGGGGATGGTACTGTGTATTTTTCCCCCTACCTCTCTTTGAGTGCTTTATCTCTGGACTCAAAGTAGGTGCAATCATTGCTCATATTCAAGTGAATGACAATAAAACATTATTCAAATAAAATAAGAGTGTAAAGAGGAATAGCGACAGCATGGGACTCAAGGCAGGGGGCATAATTGTCTTTTAAATGGGAATCACAGCTTTCAGCATCTTCCAGGAGCTGGAGTCCTGCACAGTGCGGTTTGGGGGCAGAGATGCAGACATGAGCATTGTCACATTACACCAACCCGGACCTATGAATACATATGTGTGTACATGTGTAACACAGATGACATAAGGCCAACCCCAACATTATATACACATAGATATACAGGTATCATCCCAGCTTCATATAGGTACACTGTGGGGTGCCTCCTTGTGCACAATTACACACATTTTTAAAAAACTAGTTAAAACGAGTTCACTAAGTATGAACAGGTTGCCAACTGGTTATTTTGTAGATAACTTGCTGTTTGTTACAATCCAGTGATCTGACAACAAAAACAAAAAAAGAAAAAGAAAAAAATCAAAACCCTGGAGGGCGTTTTCCTGACCTGTGTGCGGAATGCTGAAGAGGAAGTGAAGAGGAGAGGGAAGCAAACACATTGTGGTTCAGAGCCGGCCCCTCCATTGTGCAGACCAGAACAGGGCGTCCCCTAAGGAAAACTGTCTACCACACTTACCACACCGCTGAGTGCATTCTGGGAGCCAGTGAGCCACGGAACTGCCTCAGTTTACCAGCTCCTGGGAGAGCACGGGAGGGAAGGGGCACGCACTGGGGCACTGCAGCAGAGGGGTGTTTCTGCTGGGATGTCTGTACTTCCCTCAGAGCCAACATCTCACACAGTCTTTGCTGTTCAGCCCCTCTCCCACCCCTCCCCTTTTGGCAGAGGTGCCTCCAGTTCCCCTTCTTTCCCCAGGATCCCCTCCCTTTTGACCTCTGCCCACAACTCTGGAGGACAAGGTTGTTCAAGTTTCCAGAGGTTGGAGACACAGCCTTTTCCCCACTCTCCTAGGTCTCCTTCAATTCAGGGCTTCAGCGGAGAAAACTCAGGGGAAAAGAAGGGGGTGCTCCCTTATCTCTCCCCACATCTTATCACCCACCCTAGGTGGTAGGGATGTGGCAGAGGTTGGAAAACAGGGCACAGGTAGGCTATTCCAGGCCCAGCGATAGTTTTTTTGTCAAGGCAGAAGTCTGGAGACCCATCCAGGGCCCGCTGTGACAGAAACAATGGAGCCCATAGTCTAAAAACATAATTTAATGCATCGCGGGGCTGAATCTGGAGCGAGGGAGCTGCGGAAAGGTGAATTTTCCCTTTGCTGGAATTCTGCTGTGGGTGACTGATGAACAGGGAAATTTGCACGAGTGTTTTGGGTCAGAAAGGATACCCAGGGAGCCCGTGGTCACTTGGCCTACCTCCCTGTCCAGGACCCGGAGCCCTCAGCCTCGGGGCCCTGGGAGGAAGAGGAGGAGGTCTAGAAGAAGGCAGGCCCCCAGCCTGCCTGACCAGTCCAATCAGATTTGCAAAGTTTGCGCTGCCACCGCAGGGAGAGCTAGGGTTCATGCTCACTTCCCTACTTGGGCGTCCCTTCTCCCTCCCCGGGTTGGGAACAGGGACAGAGCATAGCCCAGAGCGTGTCCAGTCGCAGACACACTGAGGCCGGGAAGTGGGCAGGAGGGGCAGCAGG